CCACTAAGACTTGTGGACTTCAACTCCCAGAGTTCTTGGCCACTTTAAGACTTGTGCAAAGCTGCCTGAGGAACTCTGGGAGTTGAAGTCCACAAGTCTTAAAAGTTGCCACAGTTGGAGACCTCTGCCCTAAACAACCCAACCAGCCATTTGATAACTTGGGGTCCAATTGGGAAGTTTTGAGGTCTCTTGGTAACTGGTCAAGCCTCCATCCAACCCTCCAAGTCAAGGCTGCCGGGATCAATAGCCGATTTACGTCGAACTCATCAGGAATTCTTTCCCTGCAGAACGTGATCGATCGAGTGGCCAACCTTCCCTTGGTGAGCTCCACCTGCCACCTGGTGGTCTCGGCCTATACCTCCACCAAGGAGACGAGCCCCTACTTGAAGTCCGTCTGCAATGTGGCCGAGAAAGGGGTGAAAACCCTCACCGCAGCAGCCGTGTTTGGTGCCCAACCTCTGGTAACAAGGCTGGAGCCTCAGCGTGAGTAAAGAAGGCCGGAGCAACGTTTTGGGGGAAGTTGGCTGGAGTAGATGGGCTCCAAAGCTGGGCCCTGAAACGGACGGTGGGGGGGAGGGTGAAGCTGTAGAGCCCTACGTTGACCAACGGGATGGATTAAATGACCTTTGAGGGTCCTTCCATATTTTTCTCCCCTTCGGATTCTATGGTCGGGCTGCTTCACGAGATGATGGACCTCTTTTGTTGGAGCTGGTTGGGCTAGTCTGATCTTTCGAAAAGTTTATTTCGGAAACTTTTAAGATGCGTGGACTTCCATACCCAGAATTCCCCAGCCGATGTGGACTTCCATTTCCTGGAATTCCCTAGTCACAGCATACCGCCTGAGGAATTCTGGGAGTGGAAGTCCACGTGTCTCAAACCAGCCAAGATTGAGAACTGGATGACTCTCTGGTATCTCCTAACCCTTCTGCCTAGAATGAAGGCTGTCTTAATCTTAAAACCGGCCATGCATCCTTGATGAACTATTAATACAAGTCTGATACCTGGGCATTGTTCAAGCAATCCTGAGGACTAGCACCTTGAAACAAATTTTTGCAAGTTGTGGTGGCGATGAAAAAAAAAAAACAAAAAACCTCTAGGGATCCCAGCAGAGCCGCTGTATTGCTGGCCTCTTTGTATTTTTTATTTTTTTTGAAGTGTTGCCAAATAGTTTAGATTTGCAAATAAAGGTCCATTCCTGAGAAAACTTTGGCAAGTTTAAGCTGTGTGTACTTCAACTCCCAGAATTCCCCCAACAGGATGCTGGCTGTGGAATTCTGGGAGTTGAAATCCATAAATGCTGGTTGAGGAATTCTGGGAGTTGAAGTCCCCAGATGCTGGCTGGGGAATTCTGG